TCAGAACTTAATTGAGCAGGGGTATATAGCCTGGGCATCCAATTTTTGAAAGTTTCCTATGTGATTCTAATGTGTGGCCATTGAGAACCATGAACCAATAGAACCCTCACCTCGATCAGGGAGATGCTTTGGCTACTATGTGACTTCTAGGGATTGGAGGGCTTGCCCTTCTGACTACAGGAGACACTTGGCTCTCTTGCTCTATGTGAGTGGTGGTGAACCTGTCACACATGTGCTGCAGCATGCACACAGAGCCCTCTCTGTCAGCACATGAGCCAAGTTGTCCCAGTGTCGCCCCAGCAGCAGAGCATTGGATAACAGTGCAGTGGTGGCACTTGGTGATAAATAAGTGGGGTTTGGGCTGCAGTTTGGGCACTCAGACTCTAAAAGGTTCGCCATCACTGCTCTATGTGATCTGGCTCTGTGCAAATCCTTTAGGTTTTCCCACTACAAAAGAATGAGCACCTACACTTCTGACATATTAACCAATTACCTTTATACCTGCAATTATTGGTCACTCTCCTGGAACTAACCCTCCTCCCAATCCCCCATATAAACTCCATTGATTTTAATGTGTTACACTCCTCATCAGTTTGATTAACTATCCTTCCACAGGCTTAAATGGCAAACAAAGCTTATATACACTCTCTTTATTCAGTGAGATAATATACCAGAAAGGTATTAGTGTTATAACAGGTGTTATTTTTGAAGGGTGGGATCCAAAGTTGGGATGTCATTGATTTTTGGAGGGCTCCTCAAAGTAGGGGAATGTGAGACAGTAACTGAGGGCCATTCAGAAGCTTCCACCATCTTTGCCACTTGCAGCAATGACTGGAATCCCATTGATAATGCTAGTAATGTTACTCTTAGAAGAACCATAGAGAATCTACCTCCCCTATTAGAAGACAAGCTCCTATTCTAACTGAGGGACCATATTCGATTCCTTTTGGAATCGTGCACCATTTTAAACACATAATTTGCCTAATTTTGCCCTACAATAGATCTTTAAGTTGTCAAAGTTATAAAATTCAAGTTGAATATCACTTTATTGAATAGCTACTATATCTTAGGTTGCAAACTACTTACTTCCATGTTATAGTATTCAATCTTAGTATTAATATTAGGCATTAGTATTAGGTATAGTTAAGATATAAACTAAGTGTCTTTAACAAAGATATCTCAAAATACAATAGATTAAACAAAGTATGAGTTTCTTTCTCAAATAATATTCCATATTATCATCCATAAAACAAGTTTGGGACTTGTTTCTTGGCTCAACTATTCTTAATATTTGGCTTCCATCCTTGGGTCCAGCATGGCTGCCTAGGCAATGGAAAGAGGAACAAAGGCAAGGGAGCACATCTGCATTTCCAGAATACAATCCAGAAGTGGTTGAAAACATTTTTGTTCACATCCTATTGGCCAGAATTCAGTCACATGGTTATATCTATATGCAAAGCAAGCTGGGAAATATAATTGTTAATAAGATGACCATGTTTCCATCTAAAAATGGAAATTGATATTATTAAACAAGGAAGAGTAGATATAGATGGCAAATTTCATAAGAAACCTCAGTCCTCTGGTCAAGTAATTTAGTTCTTATTGAAGTCAACCATCTGAGCCAGGTGCTGAGCTAGACATTTTCCACAAGCAATCTAATTTGATCTATTTGCCCAGCTAAATCAGGAGAGGATCACCCAGACCAATTTACAGGTAAGAAACCTTAGATTTTACAGGTAAGAGGGCTTATGAAGCTAAGAAGCAGTGAGGCTGGTGTCTGCATACAGGTCTGTTTCCAAGTGTTTTTTCCATTACATTTTCTGCTTTTCTAGTAAGCTTCAAGACATCTTTGGTGATATTTTTACTGGCTATGCCTCTCCTACAAATTTCTGTTACAGCACTTATTGCAGTAGATACATTCTTACTGTTGAAGGCTCTTTTCCAGACTCCCCTCATCTCCTGGTATTTTGGGGATCATGTCTTCGTCATTTTATACAATAGCACAAGGCCTGGTATTGGTGCATGCTTGCACAAAGGATGAAATGAGTCAATAAAAATGCCTTCTTACCTTTCATTTAAAATCAGGCCTTTGAATGAATAACCCCCTAATTCATCTATACAACACCTAGCTCCTGTCCCAACTTTACCGCACTAAACATCTTGTTCCAAGTCCTAGGTTTTCAACTCTAGTGCAGGCACCACTAAAAAATAAGTTCAACTGATTCCAGAACAGCTTCTTTTTACGTATGACTGCAAAGGTCTTCCAGGGTTGAGATTTTGCTTCGACCTAACTTCAGCTCATCCTGACACTTTAGCCACATATTTGCTTTTGTATTACCCATAGAAAATAAGGAAAAGGCTTCATCCCCTTTTAAGATGCAAAAAAAAAAAGATTCTAAGGAAAGGAAAAGATGCCAGTTTCAGGCTGAGACTAGGGGGACTTCACTAATCATTTCAATGGTGTTGCGGATCCTCTGCCATGTTGCTGGAAACAGACCCCGGCAGGACTAGGTTCCTTCTGTGCCCTGGCTCTGGGGAGGAAGGAGCTGAAAACCAGAAGGGGCCCTCTGAAGTCCTGCTTCCTCCCCCACTGACACAAATGATGGGGTGTGTGGGTAGAACCAACCGAATTAATTCAAGAAGTGTTCTCAATGCAAGGTTCTCTGCTAGACAGAATATGGGGGGACCAGGGAAGCAAAAGAGGCTTTTCCTTGCAAACCTCCCCAGGACTCACTTTCCTTATTTGCCAAGTGTTTATAAGTTCGCTTCTCACACAAACCACCCCTAATTCAGATGGGGGTTTCTGTGCTTCCCATTCCCAGGCAACACATGAGAAACTTATGTCAAGTTGCCTTTAAAAATTCATGCAAGTTTGAATTCAATTTCACAGATATTACAAGTTGTTTTAATATATACATATAGCTTGTCTCTCAAATAGTCATGTAAAATTGCTGTCCCAGAAAGCTCCCCCATACTTACCTAGGATTTCGTAGGAGCTTGGCTAAAAGGCTTATTTTCTTGGGTGTACCCATTCCCTTCCAGGAGGAGCTCAGGGCTGGATGGTGTCTGATATCTTTTCTAGATCTGAAATCGTTTTGTGGAGAGTCAGAAATAAATATCAGAAACAGAATAGGCCAATATATTTGGGTTGAAGTACATGTAAAGTCAACTTTCCCCACAAAACTCTAAATAAAAGATTTCTGCAGATCCGATTCACCTAGAAACTCTCAGTTCTCACACTATTTTTAGCATCTATATTTTCAAAGAAGTCCCCAGAGGTGAGGCTTTTTTTTTTTTTTTTTTTTTTTTGAGACAGGATCGC